TACCAAGCCTCTAATACATCTCATATTTCTTTGCAAAAACCACTCAAGGACCAAGTCATAAAGCCTTGATCAAAGAGAGAGTAGTCTTGCTAGGTTGAAAAAGAGTAAAGAGTGATCACACACTTGTTCAAAACCATTGTTCTAGCTCAAATTCCAAACTCTTGAATTAAGGATTAAGAACATAATTCCCACAAACTTGAGGGTATTCAAGAGAAAATTTGGAAATCAAGAGGTTCACTCTTTTTTTGGAAGGTGAATTTTCAATTCTTTCATTTCTATTTCAAATTCATTTTCTTACTTTGTTTCATATTACTTTGTTTCATATTATTTTCAAGTTTCAATTCCTTCATTTTCTTGCAACTTTCTATCTTTTATTTGTTTTTTTGCTTTGATTTTATATTAGTTTTGTTGTAATCTAACCGGAAGTAGTTAGTTGAGCCACCTACATATTTCTTGTTTGTTCCCTTTCTCGATTTTACATGCTAGGCCAACTTGGCCGGTCAGTTAGCTTCTTTTAAACAAGACAGCGTAATCTTCCAATATTGACCGGTGGTTTCCAAGGCGCGTGAAGTTTATTTTTATTTTGAGTGTTTTATGAGGTTTCTTTTATTTTTATTATAATATTCTCCTACTCCCTCTCTAATTTGGTTTGTAATAATTTGTTCAAAGTGTTGTAATAATTTATCGCCCCGCTTTTTTTTATCCCATTCTTTTACTTGCTTTCCTTTGTGAATATACATTATATTTTATTTTTCATTATATCTATGCTTTGTATCCCATGTTTCATGCATCTTAATTCGGCAAATTTTGCATTTGTGAATTTAATCAATTCCTATGTGATTATGTGCGCTACCTCATGTTGTTGAGAAGATTCACAAATCATATCTTAGAAGCCGAATCTTTAGTTGCATCTCAAGAGTAAATTGCATTAGAATTTTGTATATAAGATCATGCATATTTTGCTAACTTTGTTTTGTAGTCCTTCGTGGGACGTCGTTAAACATGTAAGTTTTTATACTTTAGCATCTTACTTTTGTGTGTTTTTTCTTATTATGTTTAAGCATCCTAATATGTGGCTACTTACTTACTTGATATAACTGTATGAACGCCGGTGGATGGAAGTTATGTTGCTTAATTTGGAATGAATTGATTTTTCATATATGTAAACTCAATTTCTTTAGGTTGTACATCTTCAAAACTCTTTCAAAACACATGAAATCAATTTGTTCTAAAATAAATGACATAGCCTTATACTTATATGTTTCACATAGTAATTTTTTTTTTAAGATTTATTAAATAAATCGGAACATGAACATATAGAGTTAATAAAACGTATATCATGATTTAGTGGAAACCGATCTTTGATCGGGTGAGTGAGAGTGCTCATTAATGATCTTCCCCTCTCATACCTAAGGGTCCAAGCCAAATATCTTTGGTTATGACGAACAGTGACCTTGGCACGACTTACAGGTTTTCTAATTTTTCTAAAAATATTAAGTGGCGACTTTAATATCTGGTGATGCAGTCCATTTTTGACAAAGATTTTGTAATAAAATGAATTTTCTCTAAAGTTGCCAAATTTGGACTCTTATTTACGTTTTACATTGTACTCGTAAGACTAGATCAAAGAAGTCAAGGGTCTAAACTGTTTAACGCACATGGATCTCCCCCGGGCATGTTATAGTTTCTGGCAACTCTGCTAGGGCTTGTATGAAGCCTTGACTCGAACTCCATGATATGACTTTATTTTCAATTATATGTTTATTGCATTGCATGTATTGGTGCACTTAAAGTCCCTGTGTTGCCTAGATATTGGTGGGAGCACAGACACACTTTTTGTGACACTCCACCTATCTCTACGTTACTTCAGAAGCATTGTGTCATAATCTTTTGAGATATGTCAAAAAGGTAACTTTGCTACCTAAGGTTCTCAGACTTCAAAGAGAGGCAGCTATATTAACTCCTCTGATTTCCTAATATCTTCATTGGTTATGACCCAAAAGACTCTTTAATAATATCACATTGACTTCAACTCCTAAAGTAGAACCAACCTTGTACATATAGTAAGCTATAGTACCTTTCAAAATTAGGATAGGATGCTCTCCCATTTCTAGGACGTATGATGCCGCTTGTTTGAATAATGAAACCCTAGATCATTTCAAAATTAGGACAAGGTAAACCTAACCCCCATAGGGATGTCTGTTCTCTTTCCTACTGTGTTATGGATGAGATCTATACAGGCTTTTCAGTATTAGTGGTTCAGGCATTTCAATATGTGGGTTTGAGTTCAGTTCTTTTTCAATATGATTAGTTGAGCCGGTATGCTGCTGAAATTTGATTGAAGGTTTCGTTTTATGTTTTTGCAAGGTAGTTGGGAACATAGCTTCAGAACAGTCAAATATCTCACAAGTTATGTGGACTAGCGTTGGTAGACTCTGTAAAACTACAGATTTGGTTCAAGGACAACTAGTGTTAGTTTTTCTGTCGCTGAGCACACGAAGTAGAAGAACAAGCCGCATCAACTGGTCAGAATACCCTTTCTTCACCTGCTAGATCATCCCCACCTAGTTCATCAGCATCCGTGATGGCTTAAGTTCCGAAGAATATAGTGGACATGTTGTTGGCCCTTCAATGAAATTTAGATGCTATGGCCAATACAGTGGCCACCTATGGTGATGCTATTGCCGAATGGCGGCACCTATCTGGGTTATCTGCTACTCAAACACCTCCAGTGGCTAATCTGATTCCATCCCCACCAGCTGAGGAATTCCCTGAACCCAATGTGCTAGAAGACTTGAGGGTTTCTGCATAGTCATCAAGAGGTTCTTTTCCCCTTCTACAATCATTGGGAGGATCTTTTTCCCTTCTACAACCAACAAGAGGGCTCTTTCCCCTAGAAACGAATGAGGTTGATCCGTTTGTGATAAAACTGACCAAGTTGGAACAGATGTTTAAAAGGTCGTAAAGAGTCAACTCTATCCCAGACATTGAAGATGTGTATACGGAAACAGCTAACAAATTGCCAAAACAGTTTAAAACGCCACATATTGATAGGTTTGATGGAGTTAGAGACCCTATGGTCCACATTCGCCTTTTCTCGAATGTCCTAAAACCGATGGGCTTGACTCGGCTTTAAAAACTTTCCTTGTTCGAAAGAACTTTATCTGGTGTAGCTGCCATCTGGTATGCCAAGTTAGAGGACACAATGAAACAAAGTTGGGAAGAATTAGTCAAGGCCTTTATTACCCTGTATGCCTATAACACTCAGATTGAAGTGACTACTCGGGTGTTAGAGGCAACCCGCTAGGAGTCGAACGAAAGTTTTGTAGCCTTTATCACCAGATTGAGGGCTAAAGCAGCGATGATGACCACTAGACCACCAAAGAAAGATCAAATTCGAATGGTGGTAAGGAATTTACATGGAAAAATGCTGCAGAAGATGATAATTACCCCACTGTTCACTTTTAAAGAACTACATGAAATAGAGGTATAGATAGAAAATGCCACCAAGTAGGAAATCATTGTCGATGACAAAGAACCTGTACGAAAAACGCTCGGGCACAAGTCCAATGCTATCATTAGTAGTAGCACAACTATAAAGCCTTCTGAGGTCAACTCAGGTACTACTGTTACCACCAAAATAGCCGACCCTTTTGCCTATGCTGGCCTACAAACAGCAAACTCAGCCCAAGCCTTAAACAGAACATTCACCACACTCCATATGTCCCTTACCAAAAAGATACCGACCGGTGTTTCCGTCTTCATCATGAGATTCAAGATCTCATTGACAACAAAATCAAAACTCCCCCCACAGCCACCAAATCCAAATGTAACAACCAACCTATTGCCATCCCATAACAAAACCACACCACCACATCACCTCAATTGTATCCATACACTTTTGCCCACTTTTGACCCTGGTATCTACATCACATCCACCAATTTACCAAAACTCGAGGTACATATTCCTAAAGGCATCGAATTGTGCGTGATAGATGCACCTCTAACCCAGCTAAAACCCAAAAGCTCTATGGTGGTAGTATTCAAAGAAACAACCGAAATACCTGTGTTTGAGGTTGGCAAACTATCAGCCTCAAGTAGAACTGCCACAAGTGATGCTTTTAACACTAAAAATTATTGTGCTTCAACCTACTTGGTAAAATAATCAATGGCAACCAAGATAAACTGATGCCTGTTTGAACCTTTTAATGTTACTGCCCCGATGACATCTATGTCCCAGATTGAGAAAGGCCAAGGTGAAGTCATGTTGTAAAGTTTTGATGGCAGTATATTCATGCAATTGACGGGATACTCTTTCTCTAATAGTTTGTCAGCCTCTTTCTCTGATAGTTTGTCAGCCTCAAGCACAGGTTTCGATTAGGTTGAAGGTGCATCCATCATGTACAACTTGGTATCTTCAGGAATATATACCTCGGGTTTTAGTAAATAGGTGGGTGTGATGTAGATATTGGGGTCAAAAGTGGGTGAAAGTGTATGGATACAATTGAGGCGAGGTGGTGAGGTATGATTAGGCAAATGGATGGTGAGTGAGGATGGTGGGTGTGATTATGAAAATGGATGATGAGTGGGAATGACAGGGTGATTATGAAAGTAAATGATAAGTGAGGATAGTGGGGTGATTATGAAAGTGAATGGTGAGTGGGGATTGTGAAGTATAAGAAATTTGGTAGTAGAAATTGAAAATTCTACTAAAAACAAAACATCACAACAAAAAAGAAAAAAACAAAACAAAACAAAACAAAACAAAACAAAAAAATTTAAAAAGCAAAAAAAAAACTCCCTTTATAACATGTCATTAAAATTTATGTTACAGAAACTCAACTAAAATTTTGTTAAACAACATCCCAAAGACAAACAAGGTAAATTAACAAAATGTACATCATCTTATTCGGAAAAGCAAACAAAATAGCCAAATTACGATCATAAATTCTAAACAAAAAATACACACATATAATTTAAATTCAAAAAAGTTCAACTCACCATCACCGTCGATAAGCATCTTCAAATTCGAAAGGATTGATAAGCTATTACTCACGTACACCTTCGACTCCTGCACCTTCTTCCTCACCTCATCACCAGCCGTCGATTCCATCATCTCCTTCACGCCATCCAAACACCTCTCCTGATCACTCATCGCTCCGCCGATCCACTTCTTCATCTTCTTGATCCTCTCCTCCGTCAACACCGCCTCTCCGGCGACAACCTTTCTCATCAACAACGCTGATCTGTTGAGTTGACTCAGTGCGTTATCGAACAAACTCGCGCAATCGCGCAACGCTAACTCAGTTCTCGACTCGGTGGATTTCGAAATTAGGGCTTTGGGGATAGAATAAGAGAGATTGGCGAGATCGATGATTGCGAATCGGAGAGAGAGAGTGAAGATGAATTGTGGATCGATTGGGGTGAAATCGTTTTCATCGTCGATGTTGGTGGTGGCGGTGAGGGCGGAGGATATGGTGGTGAAGCATGAGTGAGAGTGGTGAGTTACGGAACAGACGACTCGGATCGACTCGGCCGAGTCGGTGGAGAACCATGGATAGTTGATTGGTATGGTGGTGTACTCGTGAACCAAAAGAGCTCCGATGATTGTTCCGATTAGGAGGTTGAATAGGAAGATCAAAGAGGCGATGAGTGTCGCCCGAGCCTTTCGAGGGATGACTTCGCCATTGTTGCTCTCGAGTAAGCTGACTCTGTTCTCCATCATCACTGTGTTTCGTTCGTTTATTTCAGTATTTTTGTTCATATTTTAGGACACTGAAAAGCATATCCAAACGAAATGCAAATCAATGCTTGAGATACATGCATTGCTGTTCCATACACCAAGTCCAAGCTATATACACAAATAGGCCTATTTTGGAGATAAGGTAGAAGTTGACTTTTAATAAAAAAATAAAAAAATAAAACTTAAAAAATTAAAAAAATTAACTTTTAATTGTGTTACTAAAATAGGTCATACATATAAAAAATAAAAAATAAAAAATGTTTGTTTGGGATGTAATATATAAGTGTACTTATTAATGTTTTGGTTAAAAATTAGCGAAAAAATAAGTATGTTTTGGATAACTTTTTAACTTTTTACGAAAATATATATAATAAAATATTGTAATAAAATTCAAATAATCATTCTATCCTTATTGACTTTTAACTTTTGGATAATTGAATTTAAAAAGTAAAATAATAATTTTATTCTCTAGACTTTTCCCACAAATTTTTTTCAAATAGTATAAATTTTTTTAACTTTTTTAATAATTTTTTTACTTTTTAACTTTTGTAAATTATTCCAAACCAATCAATTTTATATGGGTGTAGTATGAGTCACACAGTATGATTTGATAAATTTGTTGATATTCCTACCATTTTCCATAAAGAAATTGTCATATGTCACTTACTAGTTTCGTCAAAAAATTTGTCAGTTTACTTTAATTTTTCAAAAATTATTTTCTGGATGAATGTCGTTTATTTTTAATGAGGTTATTTTTATATTTTAGTAATTTTCTTTTATACTTTTTAGATATACCTAATTAAGATACATTTAAAAAGTAAAAATAATTTATTTGAGTATTTAAAAAATATTATAAATAAATAAAAATTAGAACAAAAAAAGTACATTTTTGTTTGGATTTTTTTTTTATAGTTTTTAGTGAATTTTATTTTATTTTATATTTTACTTAAACTTTTTTATTTTTTAAATGCATTTAATCTTGATGTATCTAAAAGGTTTTTTTTTAAAAAAAAAATAGACTAAATATGATAAAAAAAATTCAATAAAGATAAACGAAACCCCGTCTAAAATAATTTCTGAAAAGTAAAACCTGTACAAAATGAGAATTTAAAATGATTTTGGCAAATGAATTTTTAAAATTTGGTGTAAGAATATATTATTTTTAAATTCTTATTTTCCGTACACACAATTTGGACAGAGATTGCAAATAAATAAAACAAACATTTTTGTAGAAAATTATCATTACCAAAAAAATGAAAATATTTCTCCATTGTTCTATAACACAATTTTCTTTATTTTTTAAGAAAAATATCATTTTGGTGAAAACTAAGAAAAATATTTTCACATTGATAAAACACTTTGCAGCATTAGAACCATTGCCCCTCTCTCTCTCAGATCGTGAAACCCTAGGCGGCGATCCATCCATCGCACTATTAGGTCCTACTCCGTAACCGCCTCTGTTACTCCTCCTCCATTGCCGTTGTCGGAGACGAGGATTGGCGATGGAGGAGATGAATCGAGATCGGAACACGAGGTTGTGATCGATTTACGCGCGGATTTGAAGGGAATTTTGAGATTGAATGCTTGTGTGTAGGGTTTTGTATAAGATTGCTTCGTAATGGTGGAGTTTGAGGATGAAGAAATGAAGAAATTGAGGGATACCGTTAATTTGTTTTTGGAGATTTTGTGGAATTTGCGGATTTCCGAAGATTGAGAAGCGTGTAATCGAGTGTATATAGGTCTGTGTGTATGTATATATATATATATCTATTGTGTGTGTGTGTCTGCCCCTCGTAATGTTTGTGTGTATCTGTGTGTGTGTGTGTATCTCTGTGTGTGTGTGTGTATCTCTGTGTGTGTGTGTATCTGTGTGTGTGTGTGTGTGTATGTATCTGTGTGTGTGTATCTGTGTGTGTGTGTATCTGTGTATTTGTGAGCAACGGTTAGATGAGGGTAATTACGTCCCTCACAATTAAATGGGACTAAACAGTTTACTAGAATAAAAATGGGACCAATTGGTTCATAAGTTTACATTTTGGGATTTATTGGTAAATCTCCCAAAATTTAATTCAAAATAAACACACTGATGATTATTATTATTTTATCATCATCTATTTGTATTTGCCTACGTGCATCTACGTGCATTTTCATGATTGCTTTAAACAAATATTGCAGGTATTATTTTGGACTGAGTAATATAATAGAAAGGGTCTAGCTTTGCTCCAGTCCGTTATCATATTGAACTGTGTTGTTGGATTTGTAAGGGTTTACCACGGGTCTCGTTTTAAAAATCTGAACCGTTCAATATGTAGAACTCGTCGAGTACTATATGTTTATAAAAAATCACGTTGATCGGATATCGATAGCTACGTGATCAAATCAGTTTTGTATAAAAAAAAATGAACGGTGATAAATTAACGGTTGATAAAAAAACTGTTTTGATCATATAGCTATCGATATCTGATCAACGTGATTTTTCACAGGCATATAGTACTCGATGAGTTCTACACATTGAATGGTTCAGATTTTCAAAACGGGACCCGTGGTGGCCCTCCACAAGCCCAACAGCACGGTCTAGTCCGATAGTGGACTAGATCAAAGCCAGGCCCTAATAGAAAAAAGGGTTTTGAATTCTTATAAGTTAGACATCTCAATTTGAGGCAGGGTTTGGATTTTGTAGTTCTATTTTGTAACTAATTTTGATGATTTGAACTATTTAGTTTGCAAGACTCATTGAGTAGAATATTTCTATAAAAATTCAAGATGATTGGATATCAGTAGTTATATATTTGAATCATATTTATTTTTTAAAAAAAATGGATGACAAATATAATTTTAAGAATAGCTATCCATTTTTTGTAATACAAATTTAAAGAAAACATATAGCTTTCGATATCCAATTATCTTGATTTTTTATATGAATATTATCTTCAATTAGTTTCAAAATGTAAACGGTTTAGATCACCGAAATCAATTACAAAATGGACTTAGCAAATCCAAACATCTCTCATGTTGGGATGACCAACATAACACAAACCAAACCCTAGAATAAATTACAGTTTGTAACCATGAAATTTGATTTAAATTTTAATTTAATCTACATTATGCTTTAAATCTATTTTTAATTTGGTCATTCCATTCATGTCGAAGGTAAAAATTAATAATTTAAGAGAATTTGATAGTCTTTTGAAATATACGCGTAAAATGTAAAATAAAATATAACAAATAGCAAAAATTTAAAATGATCAAATTTAAAATGTAAAGATCAAAATGAAATTTAATAAGTCAATTATAAAGATGAAAAGTATAATTTATCTTATAAAATAATACAAATATGTAATATATGATAGTTGTCACGACCCAAACCTGGTACCTAGAGGCTAGACGTCGCGACAAGACAAAAACATAAGTCAATTCCCAAATGTGTCAGATTAAAAACACAATCGAATAAAATAAAAGGACATCCAAATATTTATATAATCAAAAATATATACTGGAGCCTTTATTTATTTACAATAACACAACTAGATTATATTACAATGTACTCTGTGTCTACTCAAGCCCTTTTCCAGCTACACCAACAAACGGACAAGGGAACAAGTCCATCCTTAAACTTCATCACCTGAAAGTGGTTAACAATTATAAGCACATGGCAGATTGAGAAATACTATACTAAGGCCATGTTTGTTTGGATGGACATGAGCTTGGGATTGAACTAATAGTCCGATAAAATTATTAATCTGATGTTTGGTTAAACAATTGAAGTACGGACTAACAATTCATCTGAATATAGTATCCCACATATGATAGACTATTTAATCCCACAGAGAAGGATGCGATATAAATTGGAGGACTAAGCCAAAATTTAGATTATTAGTTCCTTCTTATAATCCAAACACAATCCAAACACAAGATATGATACACAATCCAAAAGGATTCATAATCTTAGAACTATTAATCATAGGAATCCTAATTCAACCTAATCCAGACCGCCCAAACAAACATGGCCTAAAAGCATAAGGGTATAAAAATCATAATAGATAATTATTTAGGCTAAATAGAGATTTGTTCGATAACAGAAATACATAAATCATTTTAAATAACAGAAGTATAATGTAGAAATCATATGAGAAAATAATCATAACTACGATACAGAACAAATGTATGGACTTAAGAAGTGGCTCGTACGAATTCTAGAGGTGGCTCCTACAATAGTGTAACACTTAGCTCCTCATAACACTTTGCTCTACACCAAAAATCAGAGGATCAGTGGATCCATGACAACTGAGGATCACTTAAAGTGACAACAGAACATAACAGAGAGTCACATAAAGTGATAATTCAAAGAGCCAATAGTTATTTTAGTCCCCCAAGGCATATGGGACCTCCGTGGTGGTATTTATAAAATAATTGTGTAAAACACATTTAATAAACAGTTATATCCATAGGTTCATTTTTTAAGCAAATAGGATTCATTTAACAAATAATATACTCTTAAAACTAATATGATTTGTGAGAGGGTAATTTGTGTAGCCAAATTGGGCCGAGCTAGGTTGGAGTGGCGGTCAAAGATGTTTTTAAGACCTAGCTACGGGACCTAACTATGGGACCTAGCTGTAGGACCTAGCTACAGAACCAAGCTGTTGGACGTAGCTACAGGACCTAGCTACGGGACCTAGCTACATGTCGAAGGTAAAAATTAATAATTTAAGAGAATTTGATAGTCTTTTGAAATATACGCGTAAAATGTAAAATAAAATATAACAAATAGCAAAAATTTAAAATGATCAAATTTAAAATGTAAAGATCAAAATGAAATTTAATAAGTCAATTATAAAGATGAAAAGTATAATTTATCTTATAAAATAATACAAATATGTAATATATGACAGTTGTCACGACCCAAATCCTGTATCCAGAGGCTAGACGTCGCGACAGGACAAAAACATAAGTCAATACCAAAATGTGTCAGATTAAAAACACAATGGAATAAAATAAAAAGGTATCCAAATATTTATATAATCAAAAATATATACTGGAGCCTTTATTTATTTACAATAACACAACTAGATTATATTACAATGTACTCTGTGTCTACTCAAGCCCTTTTC